CCCCAAAACCCCAAAACCCCAAAACCCCAAAACCCCTTTTAATAATTTTAAGGAAAATACTTATTTCAAGTAGTTTGCTATAAAAGGATGCTCTATAACTTCTTTTGGAGAAAGCCTTTTAAGAGGCTGCAGTCAGAGAAGTTGATTTAAGAGATCCATAAACTCATAGTCTGAATCATACCCATTACAATCATACTTTTTGAGGGATGACTTCAGACCCTTACTGAGCAATTTCTTTTGTTTTGTTAAGATTTTCTTCATGTCTCTCCCTTGGACTCCGAAGATACCTTGACCGAAGATATTCTTACCTTTGAGAGATTTCATTCTCCCTTTAAGGCTGAGCCAGAGAGGGAATCCTGAGATAATTTCTAATAATAAAGCTCCAATAGACCACATGTCATAACTCCATATGTGCATTTTTCTGAGCAAGCTTGAGACTCCGTTGGCATATTTTGATTTACCCTTATTCTCCAGATAATCAATTACTTCTGGAGCTCAGTACTCAGGAGTACTCATAGAGATTCCAGTGGTTTCTTCAAATATGAAGGCTGATCCGAAGTCTATGATCTTCACACTTGTAATTTTCTCTTCTGTGTAGCTCACCAGAACATTTTCGGATTTGATATCTGCATGAACAATGCCTTGCTGCTGTAGCAGATCAAAAGCATGCATTAACTTTTGAATAAGCTGTCTCATCAGATTTTTGTTCTTATTTTAAATCAGAGTAGAAATTCTGATGATTGATGAAATAAATCCGCTCTCCATTATGAAACTCACCTTTGACTTCAAATAGCATTTTTGAAAGTGCATTTCCACCTAATTCATATACCAACCAGATGTCCTTCTTTTCATTAACTTTTTCGACCAAATGAGAAATATACTGATGCCCCTGATGAGAGCTTAGAGAGTCTCAATTAAGGGTTTCAAAAATATCTATCTCAACTTGAGAGCTACTAACACTACTCTGCTTCTTTGGGAATTGCTTGATTGCATATAATTGACCGTTATTTTTCTCTGCAAGCCACACAAGAGCACATCCTCCTCTACCTAGTACTCTCTGTTTAGTGTAGCCTGAAGGGCATCTATTTCCATATATTTTCTTCTCAGTCTCAGTCAGGTCAAACTTCTTAATCTTCTTCTTGTTATCAATCAAAGAAGTAATACATGGCTTATTCTCTGTTGTCAATATTTGCTTCCTAGATAACACTCTTGGCTTTGATGAAGCTTTTTGTATGTAAGAACTAGTCTGCTTTGCTTCCTCCCTTCAGATGTCAATACTCGATTCTTTAGTAACATTCGCTCTCTTCTTTTTGATAGCAGTAGGAGTTGTGTTATCAGTATTCAATATTCTAGGAGCAGATCTCTGGAAGTCAAGATTAACTGAAGTCTGTGGCTTTTTAAGCTTGGGTTTTCCTTCTAACATTGGTCTCTTTCATTTTTTCCTTTTACTGACTCTAAAAGTCCCACGAACTCTTCCTACACGGGTTCTCGGTCTATCATCTTGCTTTTTGGAACTAAAGAGTTTTAAATTTGTTCATTTAGAATCGAATTGGTTGTCTTCCCAACTTTCACTATTGATAGGGATTCTTCTTCCAGTTCCTGCTCTCTCCGCTGCAGGCTTCACTGCTTGGTAGTCATGAAATGTCTTTATAGCCTGGATTCCAGGGGACCTTTCCGCTTGAATAATTAACTTTGAAGAGGCGTTAAGATCCTCATCTTTTGAGTTAACTTGCAAGCCAGGAAGCTTCTGAGTTTTTTGTTTGCAGTCATGAACTTGGGATAGAAGTTGATTGTACTTTTCTGTCATCGGAAGTTTTATCGTTCCGAATATATCATTCTCAGAACTATTATTAAAAGCATTACTTTGTAATGCGCTTGATGTGGCATTTCTAAGATTTATACTAAAAAGATACCTAAATTTGTCGCTGCTCCTATTGTTTAAATTTCTTTTTCTTGGCTCTGACCGACAACTTTCCTGCCTTATGCTATTACTTTTGAGCAAAGCATTCCCCTTGATTTCTTTCGAGAATGATTCTTTAAGTATTAACTGCTCACAAGTGTTCTCTTGTCCCAAGGCATCAGCCTTATCGATCTATTGTTAATGAAGAGTCTAACCTCAGGTTTGTAGTTATCACTTCTAAGAGTCTCAAAATCTTGATCTTCTGAATAAGTTGAGTTTGTCCCTTCATTACGAATGTTATCTTCAATAACAGTAACGATTGAGCTCTCTCTGAACATTTCTTTAGCCTGATCTTCGATATGGATAGATTGAATAACCGCCCTGTTTACTGAGTTTCTGAGTAGTTCTTCCTGATCTTCTTCTATTATAATCGATGTGAGCAAAAATTATGAAGTTGAAAATTATTTATAAATGATCTACTAAAGTTAATTTACCAGACTCTTTTCTGAGAATAGGGTTAATATTGGGCCTACGTCCTCTCGTCCTACTCTGTACAGTCTTTTGTATTATAGCCTTCCTTTGTGGATTCATGCTGAGAGAATTCCTCTTCTCAATCTCAACTTTCTTCCCTTTATTTGAGCTGAACGAGTTATCCGAAGTTGGCAGCTTAAAAACTTCTTTTGATGAATCTCTCTTTGATCTTTTCTGTAAAATTTGAGTATAAGTCAGAAAGAAGGATACCTTAATTCTATTTTCATGGTCCTTAAGGAAAATATTCAACCTTGGCTGGCTATGGTCCTTGAATGAGTAATTTCTTCTTCTATAATAACACAGTCAGATTAGTATATAAACATTATGATATTTTTAATATTTCTTCTACTAATTTCTAACTGAGTCTGTCCGTCCAATAATAGCCTAATATTTGGAGAAGAGGACTCATTCGTTAAGAATTGGGGTTATAAACCCTAGAAATTTACCTGCTCTGACTCATCTTTATTCGTATTTCTTATAAATATTTAATTTTGAATTTTCTCACTATATGAAATAGCTTAAAGGGGTTTTGGGGTTTTGGGGTTTTGGGG